AGCTGAACACAGCACTGCCATTGCAAGGCCTGCTCCAAAGGATATCTGGCGGCCGTGCTTGTCCACGGAGAGCGGGCGGCGGTGCGGCGAGCCCAGGCGGTTCCTCTCCCGGTACACTCTGTCCACCAGCCCGTGGTGCCGCGTGGTCCTGCTCGTGTCCAGCGCCGACGACTGGAACGGGGTCTGGGAGAGACACAGGGATTACCCTGGGAACCCCCCAAGCTCCTCACACCAGCACCAGCCCTAAGGAACCGCACTCAGAACAGACGTGGTCCCGTGCCATCCATCCATCTCTCCTGTGGCACCCTCGGGAAGGAAGGAAGGAAGGAAGGAAGGCTGCCTCCTGCAGAGGGGAGCATGCTGGAGCTGCCCTGCCCTCAGCACAGCCTGGCACGGCCCGGGTGAGCGTGGCAGAGCTGCCAGGCTGCCCACATGCCCTTGGTGCAGCATGCAGGGTGCATCCAGGAGGAACATGCCGACATCCAGGGCCCGCCTGCCAGGCCAGCAGATGCARGAAGGAGACACACGCTGAGCTCAGCACTGCCCGGGACGCGCCGCCTTCTCTCAGAGCTTCCTCTCACCCCTCCTTGYGGCACTATTGCTTTAAGGGGACACTGAGAGAATGAACAGAAAAAGAAAAGCAGTTTCCTTCCTCCTCTGTCGAGAAAAAGTGACGGCACCTGATGGTTTGGGAGGGATTTTCAGCTCCTCCGCTGACCCGAGGTGGGATGATCCCACCTGGGCTCTTATCAGCACTGACATCCTGAGTGGCTCCGTGTCAGCAGATGATTTCAGAGCAGGAGGATGGCAGGGAAAGGACAGGGAAGATGAATTCCCAGGCTAAACTGGAGCACTTGCCCATTTTCCAAAGCCCTTCCCAGCGTGTACCTGGGGGGGACAGAGGAAGCAGCGAGGGGTCAATCTCTGCTCGCAGTGCAGCAGCAATTTATGGGTCTCCAGGGAGAGCAAAGCTCCCCAGCCCTGCACTCCTGCCAATGTGAACAGCTTTGCTGAGTCCCTCAACACCATCTGTTTGGAAATCCAAAATTTCCTCCTCCATTCAGGTGCTGCACGTGGCAAATGCACTGTCCTGTCTGCCAAGCCATGAAACCATCTGGCTCCCACATTCATCCCCCCTTTTTTTTTTTTTTTTGTTTGTTTTTCTTTCCTTCCAAGTGTCAGCTTTGGCTGTTGAAACGATTCTTTCTGTAAAGCTTTGCATTTATTTTGAAAAGCTTTGTTTGTAATAACTTTCTCAAGAGTCTTGCTACGATTTTAAACTCTTTTTCAGCAAATATTGGGCTCCTCGCCCTCTCTGCACACACGGGCTGTGTTAGCAGAGGGGCTGCAGGGTTTATTTTCTCATTTCAGGGCCAACATTTTATAGGCAGCAGAATATCTCAGGCAACAGGGGAGCAGAAAGGAGCACAGTGATTTTTGAGTGGACTCTGAGCCCTGCAGATCATGGGGTTTTGTGCTTCCCTTCCTCACTTGTGTGAAGGCTGAGAAATCTCAAATAGAATCTCAATTTTAAGGGCTTTAGATTCAAACAGGGTGCTTTAATCTCTGCTGCAAACACTGAACAACAATCCCCACGGAGAAATGGGAATATTCATCATTCCAAAGCAAGCAAAGGTCTCAGACTCCTCCTTTGCACTGCTGTTACAGCCCAAAAGGCAGCAAAATTTGCAAATACGTGCTTGGAAGGTCAACAGGAAAAGCAATTTCCTATGTCAGTGGTGTCACCACAGTGCTGCTAAAAAAGGAGCAGCCAGCCTGGAGCACAGGGAATGCAGAGCTCACCTGGAATTCACAGGGAGCCAATGCACAAAACTACAAAGACAAAAAGCTGAATGTGAAATCAGCTATTTCTTAGATGTTCCCTTTTTTTTTTTGGCACGACTTCCTTATTAAAAACACAACAAAGAAATCTCATTTGAGTGCAGCAGTGGCACAAGTGAACATGGAATGTGTCCCAGCTCAGGGCTACAGTTTATAAAATGAGGAATTTCGGGGCAATGCTGTTCCCTGGCTTTCCAGGAAGGAAGATCCCAAAAAAAATCCTGAATTTACAGAAACAGAAAACACCTGAGGAAATGGGTATCACCTCCAACAGGTCTGGCTTCTCTCAGCATCTTCTGTAAAATTTATTTAGGACAATGTGCCTGGATTACAATTTCCTATCCCTGCATAGCTTTAACCATAGGAAATTGTAACTACGGAGAAAAAAATGGATTAAAAAGAATTAATAAATCCGAGATGGATTTTGTTTGGGAAAACAAAGAACTAAAAGGACTTCACTCCCTGAAAAACATTCAAGGATTTGAGACCAGACCCAAACCCCCCACCAAAAGATGAAATMCAGACAGGAAGGAAAAAGCTCAGTGCTCTCCAAGTGTCCTTTTAGGGTTTCCCAAGAAATGAACCCAGGTGAGGTGGCTGAGGGGGAAGGAGGAATGGGACCTTCCCCCAGTTGGTATTTTGGGTATTTTGGGTATTTTGGTGCCTCCTGGTGCCAAGCAGGATCTGGGAGTTCATTCTGCCCTTCCCCACGGATTGAAACATGCAGTGCACATGCTCGGAGAGCGCTGAAACCACAGGCCAAGACTGAGAAATGCCCTGTCTGCAGCAAATCCATCCCCAAAAAACCAGAAAGAACCACACGACAGCAAATCCAGGGAGGCTGCACAGGAATTATTTGGGTGTTCCAGCCCGGGACACGTGGCAAAACCTGGCTGGGGCTGGGGTGAATCAAATAACTCCTGTGCAAGGCAGRGTGTGCTGAAATACGTATCCACCTGGGCTAAGGGACCAGTCCTAAATACGTATTTGCACAAACCTAAATACTTGTTTACCAAAGAGACAGGAACTGCTCCAAAGGCTTCAGCCAGAGCTCCGTTGTGCTGTAAATCAAAGAAGCAGAGAGGCTCAGACACCAAGGCTGGCAGCAGCAACAGCCACCAGGCTCTGCCTCACATCCTCACACCATCCCAGAGCCSAGCTTAAAATTAGAGCCGAGTTTAAAATTGGAAAAACCTGCAAAGCTTTCCCCRCCTCGACAAACACATGGGGTTATTTTGTTGCTTGTCACTGTTTGTTATCCCTAACAACATCGATTTGGGATTTTTTTTAGTGTGTGTGTGTGAAAAAAAAGAAAGAAAAGCCCGGAGTTTAAGGACAGTTTGTTTCTGTCTGCTCCTCCAGTCATTCATAAATTTTTGAAGGTTCACTTTCCAGCCCTGTTTTAGCTCCAGGATTCAAACAGTCCAGGTAAAAAACACCAGTAAGGGCCATCAAGCACAGAAATACCGAAATATTATTATTTAAAAGGAATTCTGAMCCTCCTTAACAAAAAACTAGAAAGAGAAACTTGAAGAGACCAAGCATTGTGGAATAACACTGAGGACTTCAATCCACTACAAACCTCTGCTCTGTATTCCCCAAAGAATTAAAGATTAAAAAAGACTTTTGCTTCTCCTCCTGCAGAGATTCAAGCTTTGTCCCTGCCCAGATTCAGCTGTCTGCACCTATTTCAAGAGGCAGTTAGAGGAGGTCAGCAAGAGTTTCTCCACATTTATTAAGCAGCCTTCATCAGAAAACCACAAACTGCAAAATTTCCTTCTTACCACATCCTCATGAGCAAAACTGTAACTGTTACTGCTCAAAAATGGAAAACTAAAGCAGAAATGTTCATTATTTTGAGCACTCTAACCCAATTAAGTGTGGAAATCAGGGGTCCACAAAGGATCCACCCACTAATCCTGTCCAGGTGCAAAATCTTCTGTCCAAATGTGCTTCAAACAGCCAAATATTCACCTGAAACTCTGATTTTCTGCTTTTGCTGCATCACCTCTGGAGGCACAAAACCCAGCCAGGACATCTCTAAGTTTCCTTTTCAGCCAAAGTGATTGTTCTGCCACCCCTTTGTGTCCCAATCCCCTTCTYCTCTCCCCAGTTATTCCCCAGAACACACAGAACCCTTCCTCCACTCCCCAGCTCCACCATCTCTTCATTTCCTTCCACTTGGCCCTGAATTTACAGCATTTTCCCAGATTTCATTAGGAACTGCCTCTTTTGGAGTATTCCTGACCCTAAAGCACCACAGCCAGGGACAGCAGAGCTAAAATCAAACACAAACACAACAAAAAACCAATCCCATCCCAAAGGAGCACAAGTTTTTCAAACCTGGGCGCTGAGTTCAGGACCAGCAGCTGCCTCAGGAGCTCCTGGGAGGACAAACCACCAATTCCAGGAACAGAATTCAGCAACAAACCCCAAAAAAAAAMCCCCAGGACTCACCTGGAAGGGGAGATCCATGGCACTGTTCCCGATCTGGTTCACATTTGGCAGTGATCCCCCGTAGTACTGGCCACGACTCTGCCCCAGTTGCAGATATTGGGTTTTCTGCAGSTGTAGCTGAAAGGAAAGGAGGAGGAAAATGTAATTTCAACTGTTTTAACCAGCACGACTTGACCCTGGGATCACTGAGAATGGAAACTGTTGAAAAGGGATAAATCCAACTTTCACAAAGCAGGGTTGATCTTCTCCACAAATTTCTCGCAGCAGGAAAAGCCCTGGAGAAAGGAGAGGGCGGGGAGAGATTTCCAAATAGGCAGAGCCAGGATG